GCGGTCGTGAGTTCGATCCCTTGTACCGATAAAAATGAAAAAGACAAAAAAAAATTACAGGAGAGACCAGGCATGATGGTGCTCACCTGTATCCCAGCACTGAGGGAGCTGAGACAGGGGATTGGAGGGAGTTCAAGACCCACCTGAGCTACATAGCATGACTCTGCACAAAATAACAACAAAAAAAATTACAGGAAACAGTTTCTTTCGCTAGAACTGAATACCTACGCTGACGTAATTTGTAAAGAACAATTTTTATTTCATACATCTCCGGAAACCAGAAAGTCCAAGGTCAAGGGGTCACATATGGTGAGGGTCTTCTTGGTAGTGGGGACTCTGTATAGCCATGAAATGATACAGAATGTCATATGGGAAGAGGAGTCTCACAAGTGATGGCCAATCTGGCTTTTATAACAGATCTCTCTTGTGATAATCAACCCACTCCCTTAATAGTCCATTGATGCATGAATCCAAGAATGTCTTTGCTTTTGTGACCCTGTTACCTCTTAATGGTCCCATCTGGTCTTGCCTCCCTAATACCTCACAATGAGAAATGAATTGCAATATGAGTTTCGGTGGGGACATTTACATCATGGCAGATACCAAAAGAAACAAAAAACAAAATACTTTTTGAAAAAGACAACTTGGAAGAAATAGACTATGCAAGAAGAAACTCAGTAAAATTAAAAACTACTATTGATGTGCTTAGAGATACAGATGGTATTCTATCTATAAAATAAATACAGGATGATTTTCATAATGAAAAGAAGAGCTCCTGGTAATAAAAATTCTGATCATTAAAAAACTTAATATGTAGAAATCTGAATATTCATAAGGTTTAACTAACTCCAGAAGATCAAAAAATATGGAAAGTAAGAGAAAAATAAGCCAGAAGTTCCAATATGCAAATAATGAATATACAGAAGAGAAAATAGAGAAACTTCAAGAGAGGCATTCATCCATAAGATAATTAAAGAAATTTTCCTAAGCTGAATGTGTTTCTAGATTAAATGGACCTGCAGGGTGCCCAGAACAATAAATTAAAATGTAATAACACTAAGAAACATTTCTAAAACTTTAGAAAACTAGAGACAAAATTAAAAATCAGATTCAAGAGAGAGAGAAAGAAGCAGCTTTTTATAAAGGAATAAGAATCATGGGTCAGGTATTTAGCTCAGTGGTATAAGTGCTTACCTGGCAGGCACAAAGTCATGAGTTCAATCCCTGGTACAAAAAAAAATCATTTTGCCTTTGGTATTCTCAAAAGCAAGCTAGATGACAATAAAACAAGACCTTGAAAATTCTCAGGAAAACCTTGTCTATTACAGAACTTTCTTTTTAGCTAAATTATCAATCAAGTATTCAGGTAAAATAAGATATTTCCTCAGATACAAAACCTCAAAAATTTTCGCCAGTAGGGTGGCTATGGTTGACAACAGTCAATTGTATATTTCAAAATAATGAAGATTTTGAATGTTTCCCAGAAATTAATATCAGCGATGATAACTATGCCTATTATCCTGATCATTACATATTACATACATCTATTGACATGTCACTGTACTCCATAAATATGTAGAACTACATGTTAATTAAATATATATAGTTTTTAAAGAAATTTTTCTCCTATGAATCCTTTCTTGCGAATCTCTAAAGAATATATTCACCAAAATGAGAGAATAAACCAAGAAAGAAAATAATGTAAGATCCAGAAAACATGAGATTCAACTCAAAGGCACTGAAAGGGAACACTAAATAATAGATAGCAAAGATTCATCTTTGTAGCTGTGCACCTGGGAGGGAAGGGAAACAGTCCAAATGGAAGCAGAAGGCTCTCACCCCAGGAAAGATTTCTTAAGAAAAAGGAAATTGACAAAGTATCCACAGTGTTTTAATATGTTGAGAAAAGATTTAGACAACTGATTGAATTAGGTTAATATACCTAGAATTTAATTGGTGATAGAAAAATTTACATATTTAAAAAAAGCTTACTTCAAGAAAAAAATGCATAGAAAAGGAAAGGTAATTTAGCATATGACATGACTCAAATGTCAACAGATTTTGTACAATCATAATGAAGTAAATTGAATTTTGATCAGAACAAAATCAAACTAAGTATTGAGAGAATGAGTGACTGGAGTGTACAAGGAGAGCTACGTTGGGTTGTATGGCAGCAGAAGAGCCAAGCAGAAACCAATTCTCACGTACTATGATGAGAATTCATCAGATAACACCCAAAAGTCAAACAAGAATAGCAATGTGACTGGGTAAAAAAAATCTGTGCAAGCAGGTGGTTTCCAATCTTTTGCTTTTAAACAAAATTAAGGGTAGACCTAGTTGATTAGCATCTGCTAGAATTTAGAAACCATTTTATTGGTAGCTCTCTGTATGATTCTGGCATATAACTCAGAAAAAAATTGACAATCTGGTATCCTATCTTAAATTTATGAGAATAACTTCTTAGCACTATAAAAACAGAAAATATAAGTAAAATTGATACAGAATAAATATTATTTCATTTGGTTGGTCATTGTGGTGCACACCTGTAATCCCAGCAGTCAGGAGACTGAGGCAAGAGAATTACCATGAGTTTGAGGCCAGCCTCGGTTACATAGTGAGTTCAAGGCCATCCTGAACTACATAGCAAGAACCTGTCTCAAAAAAACAAAAGAATAGCGGAGTGTGGTGGCTCACTCCTGTAATCCCAGCACTCAGGAGGCTGAGGCAGAAGGATTGTTGGGAGTTGGAGACCAGCCTTGGCAACAAAGTGAGCTCAAGGCCAGCCTAAACTGCATAGAGAGACTCTGTCTCAAAAAAAGAATATTAAGTCTTTCATGTAGTAATTTATCCACACAGACCTGAACTAAATGATAAAAGAGCTCAGCCTGGTCATACTATTCAGAGATATATTTCTAATTGAAGTTTATACTTTGTGCCAATTATTTCCCAAAATTGGAAATATATATGTGGTTTTGATTAATTATATGTGAGCAATAAGCCTGGCAAGCACAAGGTCGCGAGTTCAATCCCTGGTACAAAAAAAAAGAAAGAAGGAAGGGAGGGAGGGAGAGAGAGAGGGAAAAGAAAGAAAGAAAGAAAGAAAGAAAGAAAGAAAGAAAGAAAGGAAGGAAGGAAAGAAAGAAGGAAGGAAGGAAGGAAAGAAGGAAGGAAGAGAAAGAAAGAAAGAAAAGCTTGATCACTTACCTTGCATGTGAAAGATCCTGGGTTCAACCTCTGGTACTACAAACAGAAAGAGAGAAGAGAAAGAAGGAGAAGGACAGCTTGTGTTGGGCATGGTAACACACAAATGTAATCCCAACTATTTGGGAAGCTGAGGCAGGAGGATCACAAATTTAAGGCCAGTCCAGGCAATTTAGTAAGACTGTCTCAAAATAAAACTAAAAAGGGCTGAAGATGCAGTTCAGGGATGGAGTGTTTGCCTAGCAAGACCTTGGGTTCAATCCTTATTACCAAAACAGAGGAAAAGGATAAGAAAGAAGAGGAGGGAGAGCAGTTTGTTCAGTAGTATTTAAATTGAATAATATGGGGGCTGGGGGTTTAGCTCAGCGGCATAAGCACCTGCCTTGCAAGCAGGCGGTCGTGAGTTCGATCCCCGGTACCGATAAAAATGAAAAAGACAAAAAAAAAAAAAAAAAAAATTGAATAATGTGAGTATTAAGTCTCCATATTTAGATTCCATTATATTACATTTCTAAGAGTGCTATCATAAATCCATAATATTATAAAGCCATATACCTTACTATAATAACTAGTTTTATTTTAAATGTTGATATTTAAAATATGTTGGAAGGTACATCTTTAGCAACTACGTACACTTAGAATTTTCAAATCTAGATGTTGTTAAAACATATCAAAATGTATATTGCTTTTCAGATTCCTTTAAGGGATGTGTAAAGAAAAAACCTCAAAGCCTACAAGGCTGTATTTTATGGTCTGATTTGTTCTTATTTATTTCTTGAATAATTTTATCTCCTTATCTCAGTCACAGATTCTCTTTGTGTCAGAATAATGTTGAGTTTCTTGTATCTCTCTCCAAAAAAAAAAAAAAAAATTCTCAGGGAGAGGGGCATGAAAGCAAAGTAAGCAATCCTCAAACTAAACAAAGCAGTGGTAAACTTAAGTCATCTTGGTACTATTATAGCTTAAGTCATCCTGGTACTATTATAGCTCATGCTCATTTATTTTATGTGCATCACAGGTATGTCAGGTGTTGTCTTTGGACAGCAAGGTTTCCCTGTCCTAAAATATAATTCTTCATTTTCTCCATCTGCTATTGATGCATGGAATTTCTCCAGTATTGTCACACATCTTCATACCACATTTGTTAAAAAACATATGTCCTTAGAAGTAACCCTGACCTAGAATCATTAGATTACTTCCTAAAAACAAATTTTTATGAAGACGAATGAGGAAAAGCTAAAGGTCCCTTGTCTGGATTTTGTATGTTAACTCCTCAAACAATAACAGATGAAACCAAGTATCTCTGCTATACTGAAATGCTGCTGAAACACAGATTAGGGACAACTTTAATTCTGAAGTGATCAACTGCATCAAAATCCTCATTCTGGAAACACATCTTTTTTAAAATAAAGAACCTCTCAGTGACTAAGTAAAAAATAAAAATAATGTTTACCAAGAATAATGCTGCTAGGTCTCCAGTTTTAGATCCCCCAAAGTAAAACTAAGCAGTCACAACTACCCCTCCCAATTGGTGAGTGAATGACTCAAAACATTTCCTTTCCTATTTCTGGAAAATTCACACAGTAAAAATGTTTTGGGCTGCAAGTTTTTCTTCCTGTAGTATAAAGAAGTTACTGTAATGCCTAGAACATGATAGGCATCTACAACTGTATATTGGTCAAAAAACTGATTTTTAGGAAGAGAAGAAACTCTGAAGCATAATGGGTGGTGAAATTAGATTGCCAATCTGAAATCTGAGTCACTGAAGATTTATATCTTTGATTCATTTCTTTCTGCAGCAAGTGAGAGGGAACTTTGTTAGGTTGCAAGCCTGCATCTCAGAGCTCCGCATGTTACAGAGAGAAGGTTGTTTCAGACCACAGAGCATTTCTCTACAGCTGGCAGTAGAGGATGGGCTCCAGCAGTTCAAGCAATATAGCAGACACATGAGCACAGGTGCTACTCTGCCCTACACTTCCCTGGAGGTAAGAGATGCTGACTTTCAGGACTCAAAGCCATCTTCCCATTTTGGCCAATATAGGTGTTTCATTATTCATAATCCTCCCATTGTTCTCTGTTTCATATAAATCAAATGTAATTTTCAAGGCCACATTCTTAGTTCCTTGCAGGCAGAAGACATATAATTCAAAGTGAATTATAGGAAAAGCTGAAGTAAAATCTGAATGTGTCATCTACCTTCAGATTTTTGGAATCTGCAAAATAAACAAACATCTAGATATTTATGTTTACCTGAATATACTTAAGAATTTGTAACTATCCTTAATCACATTTTGGCATCAAATTGAGTAAGTTTTATTTGGATTATCAAATGTACAACTGTAAAAATTGCTACTATTCTAGTGCCAGACTGAGATAATCTTAAGCATATAAATAAGTCATGACTCCTACTCTATGAGGACATGAGTATGAATTGGAATACTTTTCAGCCTCTGGTAACTTCAGGCAGCAAACAGCTGGGTTAGAAATAATTGTGTGGGATTTCTGGCTTCTAGTTTCACATATAAGAAGTTTGAAAGCTGCTACTTCATCCTAACTACTAGTAAAATACTAAGCAATCAAAAAGCCAACAATGCTGTTTAGATTCCTAATAGAAGTAAGGTCACATTGCCTTCAAAATTAGAGGGACAGATGGACAGAATCATAGTATACTGGAGCATAAATCTCCATGGGAACCAATGCATGGGCAGGAAAATATGAACTTTGATGAAAACTGAAGGCTAGTTATGACCAAGTCTGAAAGTTAAAAAGTCCTGGAGAACTCAGGGAGTATAACTAGGCTCTCCAATAAATATGAGGGGCAAATTACTTCATGCCTAAGAAAAAGGGAGGGTAAAAGCAACCATTTTAAAACACACCAGAGCGATTGGTTCTTTTTAACAAGTTCTGGCCTCAAAAGCAAGTAGTTAAGTAGTTAAACAGAACCTAGCCTGCTAGGATGGGAAAACAAGAAATACAAAACTTGGGCCAACACATAGGAGCACACTCTAGTCTTCCTGTTCCTTCCTTTGATTAGGGAGGGGGAAAAGCTGAGAAATTTACCATTCAGAGGCATGGATTCTCAAAAAACTGAAATCTAATATAATATAAAATGTAAATTATTTCATATTAAATTTTATTTTATTTTATTTATACAACTTATTGTATATAATTTATAAAATTGTTTTATATTATTTTATTTTAATATAAAGTAACTTAATGTAACATAATGCTAACGAATGCTTCCCTTCCTCCCATACCTTACTACCACATTACCAAGAACCTATTACAGCAGTTTCTTTGGCCCTGTACATCATCTCTGACTATCAAGAAAACATTATAATTCACAATAAAAAGCAATGACACTGTTTGAAAAGACAAAGCAAGCATCAGAGCTAGATGTAGCAGGGATGTTGGTGTTACTGTACTGTACAATTTAAAACAACAATGATTAATATGCTAAGGGCTCTAACAGACAAAGTAGACACATGAAAGCAATTTGGCAAGAAATCTAATGGATAACATAGACACCATAATAGGCAATAGAAATCAAACACTAACAGAAATGTTCTTTCCAAGCATGGTGGCTGTTGTAGATAGGGTTTGCAAGGGAAAATTTAATATAGGACATATAATTTATAGGATTATTTTATAATAGTCACCCAAAGAGTCAAATACAAAAGAGTGAAGGAAATATGTCCACACACTAATGACCCAAATAATCCATCTGAGGGCCTGGATCCCAGGCAATGTGCTGCATGAATCCAGCTAAAGACCTAGAGCCCATGACAAGGCCCCCCTCAAGTCCAGTGGAGGCCTAGAGCCTGCAACAATGTCTCATGCAAGTCTGTTTCGTGGATCTGCCCTGGGAAGGCCCAAAGGTTAGTGGTTGAAGGTAGGAAGTCTATAGCAGCAGGATGAAGGATCTGTGCCACCAGATTGAGGGATATGCATTGGAGCCAGGAGGCAATGCTCAAAGTAAGACCAGAGATTCCCCAAAGTAAAACACAGCCACTCTCATCTACACAGAGGTCCCAAGGTTCTCTGATGATCAGAACAGCCAAGTTCATATCAGGAAAGCCAACATGACAAGCTCCTCAGCTTGTCACCTCTTCCCCTCCAGTTCTTTTTTTATGCTGTTAGCAACAATCCTCAAGTGGGCCTTCCACATCTCGCACCACACTGATTCAGTTCAGCTGGATGTTACAAACTGACCACTAGTTGTCAAGTTGTCAATCCACCAATGCCTGTAATCCCAATACATGGGAGGGTGAGGCAGGAGGATCACTGTGAGTTAAAGGCCAGCCTGGGTTGCATAAGTGAGTTCAAGGACAGCCTGCACTACATAGCAAGACCCTGTCTTTAAAAAAAAAAAAGTAAATGAATGGGGAAAAATATACCTTACTAACATTAACCAGAAGAAAGCAGAAGTCACTATATTAAGTCACTCCACTAAGTCAGACAAAGCAGACATCAAGGCAAAGATAGTATCAGAGATAAAGAAGGATATTACATAGTGGTAAAGAAGTCAGTTCTTCAAGATGATATAACAATTCTTAATGTGTATACTCCTAACAACATAGTGTCATTAATGAGAGTGGAAGTAGTCAGCTTTCTGTAACTATAACAAAATGCTTGAGAAAAGCAACTTAAAGAAGGATGAGATTTATTTTGACTTATAGTTGCAGAGGTTTCAGTCCATGGTTACTTGAATGTTACAGGAGAAAGCTATTCATCTAATGGTAGCCAGGAAGCAAAGACAGGAAGACACGGAGTACAAACATCTCCTTCAAGGGCATACCTCCAGGGACCTACTTCCTCCAAATAGGCTCAACCTCGTAAAGTTTCTACAACCTCCCAGTGACATCACAGGCCACAACCAAGCCTTCAATGGGGCCTTTTGGGGATATTTAAGATCCAAACCATAAAAATGAGGTAAAATTATATAGGATTAATAAATGAATCCACTCAGTATATTTGGAAACTTGAACTTGACTCTAACAAGACTAGATCCAAAAGGATCAGTAAAGATATATCCAAGAGAATCAGTAAGGATATAGTTTGACTCAATGAACAACACCAGTAATGAACTAGATATGATCATCATCTGTAGAATACATCATTCAATAATAGGAGAATACACATTCTTTTCAAGCTTACATGGATCCATGAAGGTAGGCCATATTTTGGACCATAAAACACTTAGAATAGAAATCATGCAATGTTTGCTATCAGATAACAACTGAATTAAAAATTAATAGAATTTAAATAAATAGAAATTAACTGCATCTGCCTAGAAAAATACACTAAACAACACATTTTCAAAGAACACATGAGTTGAAGAAGAAATCTCAAGAGCCATTTAAGAATATTTTAAAGTAAAAGCATGGCTATCATGCACAGGGTACAATAAAAATAGTACTTTGAGGGAACATATCTCAGTGGTCCTTTCCTGGGGTCAGCTCATGTTTACTGTGATGATCTGTCCCACCATACTCTGCCAAATAAAATTCGATATGTAGCATTTCTTGGCCTTTTAGCTAAGTAAACTGAAATGTTATTTGTAACTTACAGTTAAATCTTCTTCCCACTAATGCAAAAGCCACTACAACTGACTTCTGTGATGTTCCTCATTGGACATCAGGGAGAACATGCACATTGATCCCTGGATTTATTTTCAGATTACTGTCCTAACATCCCAGCCTGGAAAACAAGTGGTCAAGACATTGGAGGAAGGGTTGAAAGATAAAGACCTACTTAGAGTCAGGAGGCTTCAAGTTGTTGAGGTCGTAGAAGATACGGAATCAGCGTCTCCTGTTGATGAGTCTGGCATTGATGGTAAGATATTTTTTAGATGAAATCTTATGTTGCCCAAGGTAGCCTTGAACTCACAACCCTCATGCTTCAAGAATTTGTTTAAGTGAAAATAATAATAATTTTAATAAATAGTCTTTACAAGTCAAGATGATTATTTTCCATGTTCTTTCTATGTTCTTCAGTGATAAAGTAAGCCAGCAAATTTCACTGCATTTGGACAAATGTCTTAGGTATTAGACTGAATTTTGTAGTGATTGCTTTATTTCAAAAACAATTTACTCTAGCAGTAAACACTGAAATTTTATAGATAGTATAAGTTGGACCAGGGATTTAGCTCAGTAGCACAGTGCCTGCCTGGCAAGCATGAGGTTGTGAATTAACTCCCAATACCTGAAAAATAAATAATAAAAGTAAAAATTCCTTCCTCCTCCTGCTTCACCCTACCCAATGGTTAAGTAATGATTGGTAACTAATGGTGTGGTTCTTGTCAACTTTTGACACATGTGGATGCTTCTAACATCTCAAGGCACTGACACTGTTCTGGCAGAAGAAGGAGTAACCAGCCTTACCTATAAAGTGAGCACTCATTTACTATGCATATTCTGCTCCTCTTAAAACCATCTCCTCACTGGTTGTTCTGCCCTAATTTCTCCACTAATCTTGTTCTCTGAATTCCTTCGCCTTTTTTCTGAATTCTGTCCCCTATCCTCTTTCAGTCAAATCCCACCTACATTTTAAATCCTAATTCAGGTTCATGACTACTGTATTGATTTTCCTCTCCTTAGAACAACTACATCACTTGTGGTCTGTACCATATACTTCTACACTTAAGTATAGACTTGTAGAACTGTTTATCATTGCTTTATTGTGTAATAATTTTGTCTAGTCACCTAAATTACGAGCTATTTCATATCTTTTCAGCCTGCATTAAATCCTAAATACATTGGGTTTACACACTTGTTTTACTTGTTTCTGTGTCCCACTGTATCAGACAACCTAAATTATCAGAAAGCATTTTTTGCATGAATTGATTTCCCCTTATACCTGTGGAGGCCTTTCGTGGTTGGCTTAGCATCCCTTACATTCTCTTTCTGGGGTACCATCTCCACTTTTGAGGTCACAGAGTGGACCATAACCTGGGCTAAGGCAATTATAATTCCATACAGTACTAGTGGAGTCTCCCTATTGTCTTCTCAAACCAATCTGTGAGAGGGAAACCCTTTTTCTTTCTCTTAGTCAAGCACAGATGAGGCATAGATTATGTCTTTTTCTCCCTTCAGTGACTACATGGAGAAAGAACTTTACACACAGAGCCCAGAGCATGTGGAGGCTGCTTCATGCCTTCTTTTAGAATAGTCAGTGGCTTGTCTTTATAGCAGAGCTTTTAAATACAGAAAGGCCCCTTTTACCTTATTCATTGTCAATGATTGTGCCAGTAGCTCTTTGTTTGCTTCTAAATAATATATTATCTCACAAATTGCCAGTAGCTCCTCTTGGACTAAGTGGGAGGCTGAGGCAGGTGAGTTTGAGGCTATTGTGGCCCCCATAGTGAGTTCAAGTCCAACCTGAACTACATAGTGAGATCCTGCCTCAAAAAAACAGAAGTATAAATAAATAAATAAAATAAAGTAAAATAAAATGATCCCCAGAAATGGCATGTGTTCAGGGGTCATTGGATCATTCAGTTGAAGGATATAGGTCATTGGGGATATATTTTTGAAAGGTAAATACCACGTACTTCCATTATATTTCTGCCTTAGAATCAGTCCACTATGGACTGAAGCCTCTGAAACCACAAACCAAAGTAAACCTTTTCTTCTTCAAATTATATGTCAGGTATTTGATCCCAGTGATGAAAATCTAATCAATATAGTATATCTGGAACATGGCATGGAGTCTTCATAGTTTATCATTATTGTCACATGTAGTTCCTTTATTTCCTTAGTTTTTCCTTCATTTTGTGGTTGTTATCAAGACATTGCAAAAGGAGTTTCTCTCATATTCAGAAAAATGAGTGCTCCAGAACTACGTTGCCTAACTGTAAATCTCAGTTATATCACTTGCTATCTGTGTAATTTTGGGAAAGGTACTTAGCCTTGCTAAACTGTTGCATAGTTTATTAATTCCTATTCCTTCAGTAGTTATAGGAATTAAGTGAAATAATGTGTGTTAATAACAGTATGTGGTTAGAAACTTTGTAGAAGTTAGCTTTTGTTGTTGTTTTTGTTACCAGGGATCAAACTCACGACTTCACACTTGCCAGACAGGTGCTTATGCCACCAACGTAAGCAACACAGCACTTCACAATAAGACAACTGGATATTAACAGTAGCTACTATAATGTCTCTTTCTTTGAAATAGTTGAGCATACCTTCACATTCAAAAATACAAAAACATAACAAAACAGTATAAAACCATTCAAGAGAATGAAAGTATTACAGGACATTCAGAACCAAATAACAGAAAATGAACAATGACTACTATAATATCTCATTTTCCATAAAAAAATTTGTTTGTATCGGGGGGGGGCAAAGATGCAGATAGATAACAGCTGGCTACAGAGGCTCCCTGAGATAGTCAACTTAGAACTCAACATAATATGGCGTGGGGAGCCCCGAATAGAGGGAGATGAATTCTCTCATCCCAAGAAGAAACTAAGGTAAGAAGAACCAATCAAACATACAGTCCCAGTGCTATTATTGAAACAGCTAAAGGTCAGTGTTCCCACTACAGCGGGCAACTTGCCAAGCCTTTTGAGGTCCCACCACTTCGAATCACTGGAGGTGCAGTAACACTGAGGTCAGGGGTTGGCAGCCAAACAGAGAGCTGAGCTGGTGGGGAGCCTGCATCAACCTGTGGCGAGTGGTGGGAGTGGAGCCTTCCACAGAAAGGGGGGCTCCAGAGGACAACATTCTGAGACCAGGCAGGACTGGCAAGTACAAGGGGCAGCAGTGACTTCAGTCAGTTGTCCCCTTCCCAAACAGGATTGGTGGGGTGAGCTAGGCCTGGGTCACGTGACCTGGCTGAGACCCAATAGGTTATCCAAAATCAATTCCCTATGGTGGCAGCACACATTAACCACATTAATGCAGTGAAGCCTCAGAAGTTTGACTGACCCAGAGGAGAAGCAGTGCATAATAATACAGTGCAGGCCTCAGCAGCTTAACTGACCTGAAGGGGAGGGGCCAGCATATGCTGCCCCTGTCTGCAATTCACTAGCACAGAGCAGTGGGAAGGGTCACTTAGCCACCGTGCTTCAGAAGAATTGTAACCAACAAAGAAAGAAACTGGGGCCCCCTGGAAGAAACAAAAAATATGGGAAGAGGAAAACAAAAACAACAAAAAGTTCCCAACCCTGAGAACATTGACCCAGGACAGGTAAATACAAAGGAGAATGAGAACAGCAAACATGCAGTATCAAGGGGCTGGGGATTTAGCTCAGCGGCATAAGCACCTGCCTTGCAAGCAGGTGGTCGTGAGTTTGATCCCTGGTACCGATAAAAATGAAAATGAAAAAGACAAAAAAAAAAATGCAGTATCAGACATGGCACCAGTGGACATAAAGAAATATCTTCGGGACCTCACAGATGAGTTTGAAAGTGAAGTATTTAGCCAAGTAAAGTAAGATATAAGAAGATTAATAAAAGAGATGCTAAACACCCCTCAACCGACACAGACAGAAGAAGGGAGGAATTCAAACAAAGGAGAGAACCATTTGATGAAGAATATAAAGAAAATATAGAATACATGAAGCAGATTCAAAGAGGTTACCAGGAAATTAAAAGCTCTATGGAAAGATGGCATATCTGCTTGAAAGAAACTAAGGATAGATTATTCAAACTGTTCAAACTGAAGACAGTTTTGCAATGGGGGATTTTGAAAGGAAAAAATTTTTTAAAATAACAAGGAAACAAGCTAGAACAAAGGCTAGAAGATGACAAGAGGATCTACAACTTGAGAATAAAGAATGTGAATGATCTCCTTTCTTTTAATTTTTTAATAAGAAAAATAAAATTTAAATATGTGAATGAAGAAGCAGGGGTACAAACAAAGGAACTACAAAGGCTATTCACAGAAATAATTAAGGAAAACTTCCCAAACGTAGGAAAAAGAAATGATTCTGATATATGAGGCATACAGAACTCCAGCCACTACACCCAAAACAGAGCTACACCCAGGCATATAATAATCAAGAGCCCAGAAATTCAATTTAAGAAAAGAGTATTAAAAACTGTTAGAGACAAGACACAGATAACCTATAAAGGGATGCCCATCAGAATCATGGCAGACTTCTCAACACAAGCTATCAAATCAAGAAAAACCTGGAGCAAAATATTCTAAGCCCTGAAAGAAAATAACCTCCAGCCCAGATTGATATACCCTGCTGAACTGTATCTAAAAATTAATGGAGAAACAAGATGCTTCCAACACAAAGAGGAACTTGGGAAATTTGCAACCACCAATCCAACTCTACAGAGAATACTACAGGGCATTCTAGAGAGAGGGAAAGTACTAGGATTCCAGGAACAGGTAGAGAAGCCTCAATGAATGGAGCAGAAAACAGAATGAAGAAGATAAGCAGACAACAGATGGGGGGGGGGGAAAAGAGCATAACAGAAATGAGGCAGAGAAGGTTGGTTATAATCTCTAATATAGATGGCCTTGATACAATAAATTTTTAAAAAAAGAACCACATGGAGTAGATCAGGAGGCAGGGTCCACTGAGATGCTATTTATAGGAAATATAATTAACATGGAAAAGAGTACATGGACTGAAAATCATATATGAGAAAACAATGCTCTATGTGACAGAGAACCAGAGAGTAAATACAGAGACCAGTATTTAGGGATAGGTTGGAAAGACAGGCTTTAATAGGTAAAGGAATACAATTAGAGATCAAGTCCAGGAGAGAGAAGGTTTGGAACCACTTAGGTAAATAGCAGGTTGCCCCCCCCCCCAATTTAAAACCAAGGGTCTTAAGAGACGCAAAAATACACAGTGTACCCTGAGAAAGTATAAG